AATTTGTAATTAATTTATTATATATAATATCATAATTTATATATATAATCTAATGGTTGTTTGCAGGTGATAAATGCTTACATATATTGCATGCTTGCTCACAAGCATTTACAAAACAGGGCAGGTGAAAAGGTACACATTATTAGCACGTTTGTATCGGGCCAGATAAAAGAAGACGAGGAAAGAAACATAGACCCATCAAAATATCGTCGCATTGTGCGTCATGTTAATACTTATCTACAACAAGATATGGTTAGTTTTGTCTCGTAATCCATGCATATAATTATGAATTGTTTTTATTTAGTTCATATGCTTAATGATTTATTAATAACTATATCTAATTTTGACTGTGACTTGTATCTTATTTACACCAGTTATTCATCCCGATTAACATGCCGGGCTACCATTGGTATCTAGCAGTTGCCAACGCCAAAAAACGAGAGATCCAAGTATTGGAATCACTTGGTGAGAATGTCAAACGCAATGACCTTGCTACTACGGTAACTATCTATTTATTTTCTCATCTTAACATTTATTTTGTTTGACTTCATCCCTACCATCTCTCATAGACATATATATATATATATATATATATATATATATATATATATATATATATATGTATGTATATATATATAAGTTACTAGGGCTCGAGAAATGGCTGAAACTTGCAGAGCATAGTCCGGAGTTTATCAGAGGTCATAAGTAGCCTGATCTCAATGTTACAAAATGGACGGTTGTAAAGCAAATTCATGAGGCAATACAAACCGATGGGTAAGCACTTGTGATAATGGTTTGTTTTTAGATTCATTTGTGTGGCATTCTAAGGCATTATTTTATCATATTATAGCGCATCATGTGGATTGTTTATGCTAAACTATATGGAATACTGGTCATCACATGGACTGTCAGACCAGTTCACGCAGGTATTTCAGTTTTATACATTATCTCAAAAAAAATTATCAAAATATTTTCTAAATTGTTTTCATAATTTATTTGTAGGAGGATATGAAACATTTTCGGCAAAAATTGGCAATTATTTTGCTCGATTCAGATCTTAATAAGCTAAGAGGATGTCCCATGTACCATCAACCTGTCAACGAAGAAACTTTAGCTAATTCTGATCATGAGATCCTGGATAATCCTTCTGACATGGTCGAAGAGAAACGTCCTGCCCCAATCACTATCATTCCCACGGACCAACGTGAAATACTTGCCGGCCTCTGCAACTACATCATGTCGATCAATGATGCTGGGTGTTTGGAGTAAGTATCATGTATCAATATTTAATGTGCGGATGTATATTATTGTTCTTCTTACCATCCAAATTACAGGAAGGTATGGGTCCGGAGCTCCACACCCGATCCCATGAGTTTAACTCTTAAGAAACTTCAGTGCATACTTAACATGGAGCGGCCCATGGACAATGATTGCTTCAACACCGCCGTGCTTATCCTGGCATGTGACGAGGGAGTATTGTTCACAGACCCTCCTATACACTACATGGATCTACGATTTTGTGTAAGTTACCGTAACTCTTCATTCTAGGTGCCATTAGTATCAAAATGTTGAAACAATATGTCTTCTTTTACTTAGTCCATGCTGCTAGAGTCAACACGAGGTCAAAAGTTTTTGTGAGAAGGAAACTATCCAGACATTGGCAACATTATTTGATAGCTGGCCTGGGATGGAGACCGACATCTCATCTTGCAATAAGGTAAATAAAATATTATGTCCATTGTTATCATGCTTTGTTTTTGTTTCTAATAGCTCCACTTGTAGATTTATCTTCCCTATGCATCTATCGGCCGATACATATTGTACGTCATCGACAAAGAGGCGCGTCGTCTATATATTATGGATCCTATTCAATCATCACAACCGTCAGAGGATAAAAACTTGAGGCATTCACTGAAATTAAAAAACATTTCAAGGGATTTCAAAGAAGCACTCGAAATAAAGCTTCCTGGGTGGAATTCCGATATATCTAAATGGCATCGTTTATTTCCGGCCGGTGTTCCAACGAGTATAGACGGGTAATGAATTCATAACAAGATTATTTACTTTTGTTATCATTATATTATTTATATTATTAATTTCAAGTTTTCCAGGAATGTGTCTGGCTATTTTGTTTTTCATTTTATGCTCTGGTGGAATGGTAAAGAATTGGTCAAGCCGGTTTGCGTGGTGAGAAATGTGGGTTACATGTTTTAAGACTTTCGGCGTGAAATTTTCATACTAACTACATTTATTTATTCTGCAGGATGGGTATGAATTGAGGAAGCATTTTTTTATTATACTTGCTAAATCATCGTGGGAATGAAGCTAGAGGAAACTTTCCTGATATTGTGAAAGAATTTCTTAAGCGCATCATCTAGATATTAATATTTTTGTAATAGATGTTAAGTTCTAACATCACTTAGTTTGTTACATTGCAATAATGGACTTCAGTTTGTGTTACATGTTAAAAATGTGACAATGTAAAGCAACGTGTAACTCTGGTAAAATATATCAAGAGCCCGTGGCAACGCACGGACATTCTACTAGTTATATGTAATTTCAGGCTTTGAAACTTTTATTCAAAGTGGAAATTTTCCATTCTTGTGTTTGTAAAAATTATATGTGTAACTTAGGTTTCAGGAGGTGCTTAAATACCACAAAATTTAGGTTCCATTCTTGATTAGTCTGTTGTATAGGCACGACAGCCGCACGTCTTGTACGCCTCGTCTATTGTCTGTTGGTTTTCCTAAATCTCATCTCTCGTATGTTTTTTATAGCTCGGCCGTCGGACACCAAGGTCAAGCAAATCACCGTGGATCAACGGCGGCGAGCCGAAATTGTAGCCCAAAAATTGAGGTAACTAATATTGCCACATCTCATCCCTCTTGTGCATGTTCTATCTAACCTAGTAGCCTAGTGTGACAGTGAATATTTTTTGCCCTTGTTTTCTAATTGTTTTTCTCCATGAACTTTGATTCTAGGCTATGGAACGTATGCTTCAAAGAGAAATCGGTCACCAGATCTTGATAATGATTGAGGCACATCAAGGTTACCCATTAGACGTACGCAAAGTGCGTCAAATGTCACCACAACTAGTCTCTCGAAGCCTTCTCTTCATAGTGAAATTAATCTAAATGAGTTGCTTTATGATCTGGCCGACCAAGAGAATTTCAGAGTACACAAGAAATTCTAAGAAGCAAGATGAGACTAGTTGTAGATATTTCATGAGGGGACCTTACTGGCCACTATTTAATTTTCATTATCCGTGGAGTGATATTGGAGATGCTCAACGGAGATTTAATCCAGATTGGTAAGCCGGACACTCATGCATGTGCAAGAAAATTGAGAGCTTTATTGCTTAGTGAACAATTTTACAATTCATAGACAAAAGACACTGGAGATTCTCCGGTGCATCCTGATCAGTACGATGCTCTGAGAATGACAATTTGGCTAGAAAATCTGCAACACTATTCTAGGTTCTATGTAGTTTCATGATAGACAACCCCCGCTCTTCAAAATGAATTTCAGCTTCTGGCATTCATAGAGATAAGTGTATACGCGTGTATATGAACACTTGTATTTGTACTGTATTAAAAAAAACATGAACTACACTGGTTGGCCAAGTCTTGATCTATCATGCCCTGATCCTTCATTAGATTTTTTTAACAGATCTGAGTAATCTGTTTGAAGAATGAACCGCCCAGAAAATCTGTCTTTACCGGAGTTCATTTGTGGTGGAAGCCCCACAGGTCCACGTCCTAAATTTGGTACTAATGCTCATATGTTTTTAGATTTATTTAAGATGTTCTTAGTGTAGGAGTCATTCATGTGTATATGTGAGTATCGATCCGGTCAATGTTTTTTTTGAGAGTACGTCAATGATATACCATATTTTATAGAAGGCAAAAAATAACTATAAAAGACTATAATCTTGATGTGAACAACAAGTCTAGTTTGAACTCCACACAAACTAATCAAAGGATTAGCCACCACAACTCTTACAAACACAACGCAAAGGGACCTGCCCTAAACCAATCCCCAAGCCACCTCTTGACAAGCACCGGTCACCTTGAAGATAAATGTCTTTAACTGAACTTTCCTTGCCAAACCACCATTGAATGCCCAAGAGAAGAAGGAAGGTAGATGGCGGGACTCGATTTGTCCCTAGAAACCATCGTCTTGGACTCACCGAAACTTGCATACATAGCGCCCATGAAGATCAACTAGAGCCAGGGACGAGCACCAGAGAACCACCACACATATACTCCAAGCCGACTCTCCACACACCATGTTCCCAACAGAGAAACGACACCAAAGACATCGCCATGACCAATCTGGCACAGACCGCCGGAGACATTACCCAAACAAGGGGGAGATGCTGACACACCTCAGCGACGCCTCCAAGAAGGGGAACGACGCCCACAGACGCCATCGCCACCATCATCGACCAAGGACGTGCCGGATTTTCATCAGTAACGTCGCATACCTCCCACCCCTCCCATCTGACTGGGGGATCCGGTCAATGTAGAAGTGGATTTTCTGCGTGACAGAGCATGTGCTGTCAAGGGGGGCCTACGTGATCCTCTTCCTCTATTGACGTCTCCACACGTGATGCTCCCAATAGAGAATCAACACCAAAGACACCGCCATGACCAATCTGGCACAGACCGAGGCTTTCGCCTGGAGACACTACCCAAACAAGGAGAAGATGCCACGCTGTCAATGTAGAAGTGGATTTTCTGCATGACAGAGCGCGCGCTGTCAAGGGGGCCCCACGTGATCCTCTCCCTCTACTGGCGTCTCCATCGCGACATCGCCAACCTCTCACCCTTCCTCCAGGTGAACCACACTAGCTCACTTCACTCCACTCCACCGAGCTGCTGCGGCTGAGCAGCTGGTCCAGTGAGCTCAACACCACACACGGGGCTGGGGATATCCAGCTCGCGCAAGCCACCACCACACCGAGGCGCGCCCGCCCGTACATATACGCCCCGGCGGCCATGCTGCCATCCTTCTCGCCGGCGGCCACCGCGGCGGCGACCCCGCCGCCGAAGCCGATCCCGGGCGGCTACGGCGCGCCCGTGCTGGGCCCGCTCAGGGACCGTCTCGACTACTTCTGGTTCCAGGGCCCCGAGGAGTTCTTCCGGCGGCGCGCCGCGCAGTACCGGAGCACGGTGTTCCGGGCCAACATCCCGCCCACGTTCCCCTTCTTCGTCGGCGTGAACCCTCGCGTGGTCGCCATCGTGGACACCGCCGCCTTCACGGCGCTGTTCGACCCGGAGCTGGTGGACAAGCGCGACTGCCTCATCGGGCCGTACAACCCCAGCGACTCCTTCACGGGCGGCACCCGCGTGGGCGTGTACCTGGACACGGAGGAGCCGGAGCACGAGCGCACCAAGGCCTTCGCCATGGACCTCCTCCGCCGCAGCTCCCGCGTGTGGGCGCCCGAGTTCCTCGAGGGCGTCGACGGCATGCTCGCCGCCATCGAGTCCGACCTCGCCGCCGGCAAGGAGGGCGGCGCCAGCTTCCTGGTCCCGCTGCAGAAGTGCATCTTCCGGTTCCTGTGCCGGGCGGTGGCCAGCGCCGACCCGGCCGCCGAGGACCTGGTGGACCGGTACGGGCTCTTCATCCTGGACGTCTGGCTGGGGCTGCAGCTGGTGCCGACGCAGAAGATCGGCGCCATCCCGCAGCCGCTGGAGGAGCTGCTCCTCCACTCCTTCCCCTTCCCCTCCATCCTCGTCAAGCCGGGGTACGACCTGCTGTACCGCTTCGTGGAGAAGCACGGCGCCGCGTCCGTGGCCGTCGGCGTCAAGGACCACGGCATGACCGACAAGGACGCCATCAACAACATCCTCTTCCTGCTCGGCTTCAACGCCTTCGGGGGCTTCTCGGTCTTCCTCCCCTTCCTCATCCTCCAGGCCGGCAAGGACGCCGCGCTCCGCGCCAGGCTCCGCGACGAGGTGCGCGCCGCGCTGGCGCAGCACAACGGCGAGGTCGGGTTCGCGTCGGTGCGCGGGATGCCGCTGGTGCGCTCGACGGTGTACGAGGTGCTCCGGATGAACCCGCCCGTGCCGCTGCAGTTCGGGCGCGCGCGCCGGGACTTCGTGCTGCGCTCCCACGGCGGGGAGGGCTTCTCCGTCGCCGCCGGGGAGATGCTGTGCGGGTACCAGCCGCTGGCTATGCGCGACCCGGAGGTGTTCGACCGGCCGGACGAGTTCGTGGCGGACAGGTTCGTCGGGGCGGAGGGCGAGGCGCTGCTGCGGTACGTGTACTGGTCCAACGGGCCCGAGACCGGCGAGCCGACGAAGGGCAACAAGCAGTGCGCCGCCAAAGACGTGGTCGTCGCCACCGCATGCATGCTCGTCGCCGAGCTCTTCCGCCGCTACGACGACTTCGAGTGCGACGGCACCGCCTTCACCAGCCTCCAGAAGCGGCAGCCCAGCTGAAAATCAAATCTCGTACGTGCGTTTAGGAAATTAAATTAATTAGCAACCATTTTTTTTCACTCGCTCTGCTTCTGATGATCGATCTCAAGTGTCAGATACATGAGCTGGTAAAAATAAGTTCTCTGGCTCTGGTTTGAATTCTGTAAGAATTTGGTGGTGGTAAATAAAAGGAAATCGCAGAGGATATCTTGTACTGTACCAGTGGCTGCTCGACACGTACTGTACCGGCCAAGTACGCTTGTATTTTCAGATTATCTTCTTCTAACGTACAGTAGTAAGTAGTAGATTTGCATGTGTATGGATGGGAAGTCGAACGGGACGGGAGTGGCGAGAAACACGAGTCCGTCGATCGCGTCGTGCTTCGTCGTCCCGTTGCGGCTGGCCACTGGCACTGACAGTGACAACAGCACGCGCCTGCATGCACACGGGGACATCAGTTCCGACGGGACTACTAATGGAACAGTCATTTCCTGTACAAACTATCTTGTGATGATGCCGGAATAATCTCACTCACAGATGACAGCAAGAGAGCTTTTCTTTCAACGCTCGCAAGGCGACTAGAAAAAGTCTTCCTCCCTATGATCTTCATCGGCGAGCCTGTAGATTCACCTCCCCTCCGCCTGCTGCTCCGCGACCGGTGGCGGGGCAAAAAATTGCTGGCGCCTTGTCTCCGGCTAGTAGATAGGAAGGGTTTTAGTTCTTGCGGGGGCGGTGTTTGGACGGATGGTGGTGCTTCTTCTTCAAGTCAGTTTTCGGGGCCCCCGATCCTCCTCAAGTCCGTCCAGTGGGACGGATTAGACGGAGCTCTGGCGTAGATTCCTGCCAGCTCCTCGGGGCGGCGAAGTTAGGCCTTCTCGCCGTGCGTACGCAACGGTGATATTTGGTGTCAAATTCTTCAAACCGATTCAAGGATTCAACTGCGACGATTGTGGCTCCGTGGCGTTGGTCCTTAGGGGCACGTGCACGAAGACTTCCCAGCTGTCATCGACAAGGTCAGGCCGGCTCCGGTATGGGAGCGACGACAGCGGCGCGTCGGCAATGGTCGTTCGGTGGTCCATGGACCTCAAAGTAAATTTTATTATGTTTGAGATTTTTTGTACTTTCGATGAATCTTTATAATATATCTGATCTTCTTGCAAAAAAAAAGAGATGACAGCAAGAACATGAAGAGAAAAAAAAAATGAGAATGAAGTCTTCTAAATTGAGAGCATGTCGTAATTGCGTAACGCCATTGTAATTTTGCCTCGGTTTCAGAAAAAATGTCCTCACAATCTACAAGTGTTTGTACTGATGCACCCGGGGACAAAAACAATCCAAAGTCACGCTTATACCCTCTAATCTAGCAAAATTTGTTAAACAATCACTACATTATTTTGAGTGTGCCTAACATGAGTAATACAAATTTCACGTAGACATAACAAATGTTTAATTTTCTGGAGAGTAAAATACTAATCTATCCAAATCCGTACCTATAAAATTAGTATGTGCCTAATGTCTGTCAAACATTGTCAACAATTGCGACATTTGCGGGTATATAATTAAATAACGATCAACAGTCTTTAGGGACATAACTTGAAACAATGTTCTGCTCACGTTTATCTTGCCCATAAGATAAGCGGATCGCATAAAAGTCTACATCAGATAATATTCTCCATCAATCTAGATAAATGTTCGATCTTTAATATCTCATTGACGTCACATGAGAAAAAAATATTTTCTTCAAAATCTACAGGTTCCATGGCACTTTATCATTCAGAAGCTATAACACAAAACAAACTCTACATCGCATTTGCCTCATGACTGATTTTTAGGTGTGATTTGGGAATACAATTATCACGCCCCACCTGAACGTGTCAGAGCTAGTCAACTTAAATATTTATAATAAACTTTTATACCGCTTATAACTGAGTTTTATCAAATTTTATAATATATTATATAATTAATTTTGATAAATTGATTATGATAATTAACCAGATAATAATGTCACTAAACATTATTGTTAAGTATAGGCTAAAGTTTCAATGTCTATCTTTAAAATGTGTGTGAACTATGCTAAATTTGAACCATGTTTGTAATTAAAGCTATATTGTATATTTTTTTAATATACATTACGCCTTAATCATAAATTTAACTCTATTTCCATTAACTTTGAGAAAAATAATAAAACATAAAATGTCATGCTTTTGTGAATTTATTTGTTATACTCACTGTACATATATCTCTTTGTGTATCATGAAATATTGTGGTAGCGATCTCTAGAGTGTGTTGTCTCATAAATACCCCCCTAGGGATTTCGAGTTTACAAAAAAACTCAAAAAGGACTTCACTAGCTAGCAACGATCATTTATAGCTTATGATTATCTATATCCCTATATGTAAAAAGTTCAAGAGTATATAAAATACTTCTCGGGAGATTGCCACCAAATCATTAGCACTGCCACATTCACTACAAAAAAAGACACATCCGTGACATTTTTGGCAAACATTTTTTTCTGTCATGCTTATGACACTTCTATGACGATAATTGTGACAAAACCCCGTATCATCATAGATGTGGTGGGCTCCTACTTCTATGACAAAAAATATGACAGAAAATGGATTTTTCGTCCTGGGCGGGCCGGAGACAGCTACATGACATTTTTTGGGTCGTCCATGATGGAAAAACCCGTGGTAGAAGCAAGGGCGAGGAAAATATCGGGGAGTTCCCGGTTACTGTGGGTGGTCGGGGGCCAAGCGATGTGAGTTTCTGATGGGGACCACTCTACTAATGGAACAGTCATTTCATGTACGAACTATCTTGTGATGATGTTGGAATAATCTCACTTAGAGATGATAGCAAGAACATTTCTTTCCCCGCTCGCAAGGCGACTAGGAAAATTCTTCCTCCCTTGATCTTCACCGGCGAGCCTGTGGATTCGCCTCCCCTCCATCTGTCACTCCAGCGGCCGGTGGCGAGGCAGAGGATTTCTGGCGCCTTGTCTCCGGCTAGTAGATAGGTAGGGTTTTAGTTCTCGCAGGGGCGGTGTTTGGGCGGATGGCGGTGCTTCTTCTTCAAGTCAGTTTTCTGGGCCCCGATCCTCCTCAAGTCCGTCTAGTGGGACAGATTAGACGGAGCTCCGGCGTAGATTCCTGCCAGCTCCTCGAGGCGGCGTGGTTAGGGCTTCTTGTCGTGCGTACGCAACGGTGATATTTGGTGTCAAATTCTTCAAATCGAATCAAGGATTCAACGACGACGATTGCAGCTCCGGGCGTTGGTCTTTAGGGGCACGTGCACGAAGACTTCACAGTTGTCACCTTGATGTAATTTTTATTATGTTTGAGGTTTTTTTCTACTTCCGATGAATCTTTATAATATATCTGATCTTTTCGTTAAAAAAAGAGATGAAAGCAAGAACATGAAAAAAAAACCGAGAATGGAGTCTTCAAAATAAAGAGCATGTCGTCTGCTCATGGTTTTTGTATCATAACTCTGTAACGCCATTTTAATTTAGAAGTCTTCAAAATTCCTCAAGGCCAGAGAAGAACATACAACAGTTTGGTGAGGGAGAGGAGAAGAGAGGAAGCTCTGTATGCAGCAGCCGAGGCCGACGTCAACTGTGGACGTGGAAATTAACAGCAGCTACAACATATTTTCAAATAGCCAGCCTCCAAAACCGTTTTAAAGTGCCTTAGAAATGAAGGCAGTGAGACAGTCGACAAACTCAGATCCTCCGTAATGTGGACTGTATAAATTACGGTACACACTCATCATCAGGTTTTTAATGAAAAATTATATTGCTCAATAATAACGTCCTCTAAACTTCTTCTTCATTAATGAATAAGTCAAGTCTTTTGCCTCGGTTTAAAAAAATTAATGTCCTCACAATCTACAAGCGTTTGTTCTAATGCACCCTAGGAAAGAAACAATCCAAAGTCATGCTTCTACCCTCTAATCTAGCAAAATTTGCCAAGTAATCACTACATTATTTTGAGTGTGCCTAACATGAGTAATACAAGTTTCACGGAGACATAAAAAATGTTTAATTTTTTGGAGAGTAAAATACTGATCTATCCAAATCCGTGACTAAAAAATTTGTACTACAAATTATGTGTGTAATGGCTGTCGAACATTGTCAACAGTTGGGATATTTGTGGACATACAATTGAAGAACGATCGACAATCTTCTAGGTCTGGTGCTGGCAGCAAGCAGAGGGTCTATTCATCATGTTGATAATCCGGAGCTGGGTGAAGCTATTGCAATGCGCCATGCGTTGATTTTTGCTGAAGATTCTGGTTTCCAGAAAATCCTTGTGGAGACAGATTGTGCCAGTTTGATCAGGAAAAATAATAATAAAGTGGATGACAGGTCTCACACAGGTGATGTAGTTTTTGACATTAAGAGTAGGGCTTCAAGGTTCTTATCATGTTGTTTTACTCATGTTAGTCGACGTTGTAATGAGGCAGCTCATGTTCTAGCAAAGTCTGCTGAACATGATGAAGGGTCATGCTAGTTTAATGTATCTCCTGAAGTTATCAGGAATATAGTTTGTACTGAACAATTTTGAAATGTATGAATGAGGCTGCCCATTATCTCTAAAAAAACATCTCATCATATATCTTCAGTGCGGTGACACAAGTGAGAGGAATGAATGTATTAGAAAGGATCCGCCTAATGTGTCGTCGTCAGGGTTGTTCGAACCAAACTTTGGGCTCCAGGGTTAGTCAAACAAATGAAATATATATAATAGACTTTTATACCGCTTTATAACTCACTTTTTATCAAATTACAATCCTAGTTAATTCATTTTTGATATTTTTCTTATGATAATTAATCAAATGACAATATTCCCAAACATTATTGTTAACTATTTTTAGGTGAAGTTGCAATGTCTATCTTAAAATGTATGTGGACTATGCTAAATTTGAACCATGTTTTTAATAAAAGTTATGTTTTTTTTCATACATTATGTCTTAATGAGAAATTTAGCTCAATCCCCGTAATTGTGAGAAAACTAATAAA